GCCCACCACAATGCCTGGCTACTTTTTGGTTGCAGCCGTCATTGTTGTTTGGCGGGCTGGGCTGGATTTGAACCCACCACCTTAGGTGTATGTGGCTGGTGCCTTAGCTATTTGAGTGATAGGCGCTGAGCCACCTGCATGTGTTTAGTGGGACATAGCCTCATTATCAGAAGCATCTGCATTAACATGTATTGGATTTTCTACAACACAATGGAAGAATACCAAGTTTTTTCTTTTTCTTTTTATAGAAGAAGTAATTTATTATTTTAGAGTAATACACTGGCACTTCTTGTGGTATTTCCTTAATTCCCTACTTCTTTTTAAATTTAAAAACACAGCCTCTTTGTGTGTGCTGAGAAATAGATTCCTTCTACTTATAAAACTTATAGCAAAATCTATGTGTCTGTGTCCAGTGGCTCAGATTGTCTGAGGTTCAGTGGCTCACATCTCTAATCCCAGCACTTTGGGAGGCTGAGATAGGAGGATCTCTAGAAGCCAGGAGTTTCAGACCAGCCTGGATAATACATCTCTACAAAAAAATTTTTTAAATTATCTTGGTGTGATGGTATGTGGTTAGAGCCCTAGCAAAATAATCAAATGATAATCCATTCTAACTGCTTTGACATATGTTATCACTGTCTTTTCAAACAACTTCATTTCCTATTTAATGAAAACTTTAAAATTTTTATTTTATTCAAGAAAAAAGAAAATATTCGCTGTCTAACTACACTTGGCCATTTTGGGTTTGAATGTTTGCCCTATCAGTTGGTGAATAGAGCTCTCCAACAAGGATTTTCTTTTAATATCCTCTGTATAGGTAAGTGCCAAACAACTAATTTGAATTATTACTTCATTTTTCCCACTACTGATTTCAACTTACCTTAAGCAGTGTAATACTGGTGCTGTCAATTCAAGACCTTGTGTTCATGTTTATAATGGTTTTCATCTTCTTAACCATATTTTGTGGTCTGTAAACATTTAAAAAGCTTAAACATTTCAGTGCTTTTCAAAATCTGACATACCTTAGTGGATACTTTCTACACTACATTGATGACAGAGAGAATCAGGGCTAGCATGTTACACTCAAGACCATTCCAGTCTTTAAAGCATTAGGGATCCTTTATTTTTTAAAGTGTTATTGTTATTATTCTGAGGCAAGGTCTCTCTTTGTTACCTTGGCTAGAGTGCAGTGGTGTCATCATAGCTCATTGCAACATCAAACTCCCAGATTTAAGTGATCCTCCTGTCTTAGCCTCCCAAGTAGCTGAGACTATAGGAATGTACCACCACATGAAAATAATTTTAAACATCTTTTGTAAAGACGGGGTCTAGCTATGTTACCCAGGCTGGTCTTAAATTCTTGGCCTCAAGCAATCCCTCCCACCTTAGCCTCCCAAAGTGCTTGGATTAAAACCAGGAATAAGCCACTGCATGCAGCCAAAAAGTAATATAAATTTTAATAGAAAAATCATAATTGTATATATTTATGGGATACAATGTGATGTTTCCATATATGTTTAGGTAGAATGTTTAATCAACCTAATTAATATAGCTATCACTTGGCTTACCTGCCATTTTTTTTATATTGAGACATTTGAAATTTACTCTAAGCTATTTTGAAATAGACAATATATTATTATTACTGTGGTCACCCTGAGGTGCAATTATCTCCAAACTTATTCCTCCTATCTATTTACAACTTCTCATTTCCATTGTTCCTCTCCCTCCATCTCTTTTAGTCATTATTCTAATTGCGTCTGCATCTGTGAATGAGTTCAACTTCTTTAGATTTTAAAAATCACAGTCAGACTTGAGTTTTGCCTCTTCTCAGCTATGTTATGCCCCTGTGATGATGAATCTCTGTTTATTACAGGGGAAACTGGAATCGGAAAATCAACACTCATTGACACCTTGTTTAACACAAACTTGAAAGATAAGAAGGCCTCACATTTTTACTCGCATGTTGGACTTAAAATCCAGACGTACGAACTTCAGGAACGCAATGTTCATTTGAAATTGACTGTTGTGAAAACAGTGGGGTATGGTGATCAATTAAACAAAGAAGGCAGGTTAGTGTTTTCTTGTTTTAATTAAAAAAGATTTTCTTATCTTAAGAAATTGGCCTTCTTTCTCTATAAACTAAATTGTAATATTCCTCTAAGTCAATTAATATATTTCCTTCCATATTTTAATTCTTTCCTAATGTTTTCTTCTTGCAAAATTGAAACCTTTGTATATACTTTCTTATGAGATTTTGAATGAACTAATATAGGGAAAATTTGCTAATGTAAATTTGCTAATGTTTCTATTGGCTAGATTATTTCCTTGTTTCTTTAGCTTTTACTCATACACATTTATGGGGTACATGTACAATTTTGGAACATGCATAGACTGCCTAGTAGTCAAGTCCAGGCTTTGAGGATATCTGTCACCCAAGTAATGTATACTGTACTCAATAAGTAATTTCTTATCATTCATTCCTCTCCCACCCTCTCACATTTCTGGTCTCATTATAATAATTCCACTCTTTATGTCCATGTGTAAACATTTTTTAGCACCCACCTGTGAGTAAGAACATGTGACATTTTATTCTAATCCATTTATGTTACTGCAAAAGACATGATTTCA